TTTGCTCCCAAGGCCTCTGATTGCTGCTGAAAAGCCCAGCAGCAACAGCCGAGCAGCCCAGGGGAGGGGGGAAGGGACAAAAGGGGCAAGGGGAGAAGAGCGCTTGGGGATGGGGTGTTTTCACCTATGGGCAGGAAAACGGGTGCAGGGTGATTGGGGGCTGCCTTGGCACCACATGTGTGTTCTTCCCTGCCCTAAACCCCTGCCCAGAGGAGCAAACACCCCTTCCCCTACACACCCCCAAGCTCTCTCTTTCCCCCTGTCCCTTTTGCTATTTCCCCCCACGCCCTGGGGCTGCTAGGCTTTTGCTACTACTGGGAATGCAGTGGTGATAGCGTGGTCTGGAGCCAGGGCAGAGCCATGATCTGTGCCTGCGCACACCCCTGCCTGGAGCATGCGGGCTGCAGATCGCAGCTCTGCCCCAGCCCCGGACCACGCTGTCACCGCTGCAAGATCCCAGCCCGGCTGCAGAGCAGCTCTGAGCTTTGCTGCTCATCCCGCTGGGAGGGGAGTGGGGGGCGTGGTATAGCCACCCCACAATTCCCCACTGCCCCACTTAGGGTTGGGGTTGGGGTTGGGGACTGGACTTGAAATGGGTTGGGCTTGTTTTTCAAGGCAGTGCTGCTTTGTTTTTCTCATGAGACTTGTCAACACTGTGCCTGTCTGCCTTCACATTCAGGAAGGCTTTCGTTTTCCCACCTCCCTGCCACTTCCAGCCTCCAGCTCCTCACTCCAGGCTGGAGCCCAGGGGAGTTAATGGTGGGAAGCTGCTTGCTGGCTCTGACTCCAACTCATTCACCACTTTTTCAAGTTACTTTTTCATGATTTTTTCCACCCCCCTGTGTTTTCTTCCTTTTCCCTCCCTGGATCCTGGGCTCATTTATTTGTTCCACCTCCACTTCCTCTGCTTGTTTGACTTCTTTTTTTCCCTTTCCTCCCCGCTACCCCTATGCCTGGGTTCTCTCCTGCTCCCCACCTCCCCTTCTGTTTCTTTTTGAGCCACCTCAGTTAGAGATATTAAACCCCCCTCTTTCTCCTTTCTTCCTTTCGGAGGGGTTTTTGTCCACCGTTTCTACTTCACTTGCCCTCCTCTTCTCCCCATTGTCCCTTTCCGAGTCACGATGTTCCTCGGGGGATCTGACCTTGCTTGCACAAGCTTTGGGACACCTGCAGAATAGGTGTGTCCCCTCTCCCCCCACACACACAATGTTCACCTAGTGCATTTTAGGGACTCATGGCACTCTGCAGCTCTATGCCCCTTCCCTGCACACCTGTACTGCACCATGAGGAGACTGTGTGGACAGATGCCCCTCCTTGCTGTATTGCTTTGGTTGCCCATGGTATATTATAAAACCCCGGCGGGGTCCCAGCTGGATCATAGATGGGAGGTGCTGCATCCCACCTGGGCTGCCACTTACCGGTTCTCAGCACAACTCATACCTGCCATAACCCCATTCAAATACCATACGAGTCTCGCACCTTCTCTACACACATGGCTGCTTGCACATTCAGTTGAATCCACCGTAGTCTTCTGCCTCTAAATCCATAGACATTCTTACTATAATCACTTGTTCTCTTGACTTCTTTCCCCTCTTAATTTTTTCCTCCCACATAACTTGGCATGTTTCTTCCAAAAATCTTCACACCTATGCCTATTCCAGTAAGTAAACTCCCAAGTCTTTAAGTTTTGGAAAGCAATCAGGCTGGTGAGATGATTCTCCTGTACCTCCAGTATCTCAAACAGTACTTTGTCTGTGAACTCGGATCTGTTCCTCTTTGATCCTGTCTTCATCCCATCATGGTTTGAGATTGCTTTTATCCGCAGTCTATGATCCTCCCTGACATCTCAGTGCGTTTTCTGTGCTGTCCCGCCGTGCCGCTCCCGGTGGGCGTTTCGTTGTGCTCCTGCAGCTGGCTGCCTCTCGTTTGACGTGCCTTCTCCTGCTGTTCCTGCTCTATCTCCCATTTTCCCGTGCTCCCGTCTTCCCCCGGAGCCAGTCATGACACCCTTCCCTTGGGGCCAAAAGTGCTTGATCTTGGCCAAAAGGCTGAGATGTTAATGGGAACCTATAAAGATAGATCAGTACAGCCCATCCATCGTAGTGCCCATAGCACTTGTCTGCCCTTAGCATTGGCTCGTTTTGGTGAGCCACTATATTAAATACCCATTTAATCTCTCTTCACCCTCACATCTGAGCTGTGCCTTTCTTTCCCATTTCCAACGATTACTGTTCCTTCACCAGCCTTAAATGTCTGGCAGACCTCACCAAATAGGACCCCGAACACTTCACCTAGAATCCCTCTGTCCCCCCCCACCCTGCCCCCCAGCCTGTTGCATATGATTAGTGTGCCCCCACCCTCCAGGAGGTGGAGCTGGATTAGGTTCTCCTGCACCTCATCTGCATATAGGCTTTGGAGGATCCTTTATGCGGGTGTATCTTGGAGTACACGCACATACTAAGCCATGCCAAGCTGTGTGGTCACCTTGGCTTGAAACACTGTTGACTCTGCTAGGGCCCAGTCCAATGAACTATGTGGCAAATCATGAGCCTTTTGGCTGATATCATGCATAATTTGTAGTATATCTAAAGAGGCTTCTCAGTCTCTTGTGAGCTAAGAACAAGTGGGGGCATCTGAACCCCCAAATCGCTGGGCTTGGGCCCATACATAGGATGCCTACCAATGGATCTGGAAGCATCTGAAGTCCTAGGGTGAGAGCCTGGGATGGAGGACACTCACCGGCTGTAGCACCATACATGGTGTTTAGTACAATTGAGTTCTGCCTGCTCAGTCGATATGGTTTTTGGAACAATTGAGCTCTGCTCAATCGATTTATGATTTGAAACTGATTTGGCTAATTTGATCTGGAGTTAGAAATTTATAAAAATATCTAAATAGGTACAAAAGTGCTGCTTAAATGTGTTTATGGAGTATCTGTGCTAAAACTTGCAGCACTTTCCAGACAGGTCAAATGCATATATTCTGGATGAACTAAGTGTATGGGTATGAGAATCTATAGTCATCTGCCTATATGCAAATTGATTTCAAGGTTAGCATTTTCAAATTTGCCTCTCACTTGCATGTGTTTAGAGAGATCAGTGTCTGATGGTAAGGGGTTTCAGGGGGAAGAATTTGGGGGGCAGAGGGCAAGGGGGCACTTTATAGACACACACACACACACACACACACACACACACACACACACACACACACACACACACACACACACGCTTATTTTCCCTGCTCTTGCAGTAGGAGGTGGACAAATTCAAGTCGCATCTTCAATAATTAGATTCTATACCTGGAAAATTATTATTGGAGGGATCATATTCAAGTAAATTGGGTACTTGAAAGACCAGTTGGCTGTTTGTAATGAAGCTTCTGTATGCTAGGAGCTGTACAGACACGGAACAAGACCAGCCCTGCCCCAAGAGCTTACAGTCAGATAGACAAGAACAGAAATGACTTGCTGAACGTTGCCCAACAAGTCAGTGGTAGAAATATGAGTAGAATACAAATCCTATGGGACCAAGGCTGGTACCCCATTTACTGGACCCCACTTTTCTTTTCTTTCTTTCTTTTTTTTTAATGGATAGAAAATGAATGGGATGGGTCACCCCTGTTCCTAGGCATCTCCCATCATACGCTGTACCCTCTGGACAGCCCGAGATTGCAAATGCAACAGGAAGAGTATTGCGGTATCCTCCTGTCTCCTCCCTAAGTGTGACAAATTTGGTGCAACTTTGTAGCGCGTGGGCAAGGAATTACGAAAGCTGGCTGCACTTGCTGTACCTGCTAAATCAATTATAAAACTCAAAAGTATGTTTCTTCTAAAAATAATTTCATTTCTTAAAAATGGGGTTTTTCATTAAAATTCAGATGAATATTTCATAATTGCATATAGGGTCTTGTACTGCCCATACTAATGGAGCATCTTCCAGTAGTGCATTATTGAGATGTACATGTTTTACATGTCCATAAAGATGTCTGGGCCCAGTTCTGTCATGTCACCTGTGTGCTGGTGTGACTCAATTGACTTCAGCAGATGCTAGAGGAGAACAGTGACTCAATTTGCTATACCGTCTACAAAGTCCATACTGCACTTTGGATAGAGAAGGAAACGATGTGGAAGCTGGGACTCTTGGCTTCAAGTCCTGGATATACCACTACATCTCTGTGTGCCATTGATTCAAATACTTTCCTTTTATTCCTCAGTTTCCCTATCTGTAAAATGGGGACAGTGGCACCAACTTGCCTCTTTGGGAGGCATCATGAATTCTGGTATTAACAATTATTTACTGCATCAGATTAAGATGGACCAGGTCTGTACAGCTGTTACTGGTATGTTGTGTTTTTGTTTAAGACCTGGGAAGTTGCCAGCATGAGCTAATTAATTGCTGGGTTTGTTAATTTGACAATTTTTTTTTTCCTGCTGCAGGAACGTACTATAAATATTGTCCTTTTTAATTTAAAGAGTGTACCTTCTTTCCTCCCCACAACTTACCCTCTGGAGCGAGACTTGGCAGAGAACTTTTTTTTCTGCCAAATCCAGCTTTTCTTTGTAAAGATCAGCTGTTTACAGTAGTTTCCTTATAACACTTTAATTTTCGGTTCTGCTCTTTTGAATGCTTCTTTTGCTTCTTCCTGTAAATATTTTGATTTTTTTTTTTTTTTTAAGCTGCTGTGGGGAACTGAATGCAGCAGCTGCTTACTGTGCTTCAGAATTAGATGTGGCTAGACATCACAGGACGTCATTTTGCATAGAGAAAAAGGATCCTCTTCAGCTTCTGTGATTTGGGCTGTGAAAATAAACCCCTTCTCAATCCTCTTCCCCCCCACCCACACCTCACCCCCTACCCCCCAATTTCTCTTCTCAGCCATGTTGAAAGAACACCTCATCTATTTGTATGCAGGATCCCAACCTGCTGTGGGCCAAAAAGCATAAGAGGGGGGAGAAGCCATTTGAATTGGAGAGGGGGTGGCAATTTGAAATCACTCACTCTTGGGAGACCCTGAGGGGCTCTGGCGGCTCTGGGGGGCCGGTAGGCTGGAGGAACAGTGGTGATGTAGGCTGGAGATCTTCAGAGAGACCTTGAACCCTCTTCCAGATGTCGTGGCAAGCTTTGTCCAAGCTGTCCTGAGGAGTGTTGTGGTGGATCCAGATGTGCCGTGGGAACGGCCCCAGAGGGAATGGCCCTTTGGGGCTTACTGTCGGACCCTGGGGCCCGTTTTCGCCTGTGGGCATCTCTTTGTCTCTTTGCACCCAGAGACCGAAGGCCAATTTTTTTTCAAAGAAAGGGTTCCTGTGGGTACGGAACGGAATGAATAGCAACAAGCCGCGGTAGCTCGGTAACCGCAGAACCCCCGGGCCCGGCAACGGATATGAAGGATAACAACCAGAAGCAGCTGTCGAGGTCCCAGCAGCACCCACCCGACGACACGTAAACGGGAACGCCAGGTCGTCTTAGGAAGACTGAGAGCAGCAGCCGCCGAGGCATCTTGCAGATTCGGCCTTAGGTTGAATTAATTTCATATTGTATCCTGGTGCCCAGGGGGCTCCTTCATCCCTGTGGCCCTTGACATTTGTGTCTCTTCCCAGATGCCTATGTTGGGTCCCCTTCTTATCCTCGGCAGTATAGACTGAAGCAAAGAGGTGGGGTGGGCGTGCAGGGGATACTAAAAGAGACGAAGGCAGGAGGTATGGATGTCCTGTAGTGCCTTGACCTCTGTGGGGGGAGCAGTGCATCTCCCTGGTGCTCCTCACTAACCTCTAAGCCCTGGATTGTACCAGGTCCTAGCAAAGAGTGGGGTCCAGTGGAGAGCCCTTTGGCATGAAGTCCAACCTACGCTCTGCGCTTGGCTTGGTTGCTATTTGAGCTTAGACAGCCAATGTAACCCTCTTTATTGCTCCTCTTCCCCATCCAGCTGTTTGTCTGTTTTGGCGATTTTTTGTTTTGTTTTGTTTTTTTGGTTTTTTTGTGTTCTTCTGATTTGTCTGGGACCAGGACTCAAGTGCTAGCGTAATATCGCTAGCTGTTCCTGCCACTTTCTCTTACCATTGCTACAAACCGGTCCAAGGCATCCTTTCCCTTGTCTTCATTGAGTCTTTTGCATGCTTGGAGCCAGGAGTGGAGCATTTCTCCCACTGTCCTGGACTGTGCCAAAGAACTAGCTCTGATTCTTTTTTTTCTTGGCGTTTCCAGCAGAGCTGGAGATGTATACAAGTTAAAATGGCTTTACTGCACATGGCTCCTGCTGTTTAAGTTGATGCATTTCCACAAGATAGACTGGCTCCTTGCAGAACTGTGCGTCTTTCTACAACTTTCCCTCCATGGATGTGGCTAATGGTATGGCGGGGGTACGTGGGGCATCTATTTCCCCTTTCACTTGCCTCGAAATTCACGGAAGACGTTGCTGGGAACTCAAGCGTTTATTATGGTGTGACCAATTGAGTGTCCTTTGGTTCTCATGGATGGGTCTGAGCTATGACATTTTGGAGCTTGTCAACATTGATGGATATTTGCTTTGGGATTGTTTCTTTTTAACACTTTTCCTATGCAGCACCAGGCACTAGCCATTTACAAACACAAGATACTGGAACATCAATTTCTATTTTAGTAATATGCTGCCTTCATGCACTAGCCATTTTTGCCCTTTACTAGCTCAGATGTTTGAGTGATGTCACCCTCTGGTGCCTGGAGCCCAACAGAAGAGAAAATCCTGAATTCTGGGGCTCCAGTGGAGATGACTATTCATCCTACATAGTGCGTGTCTGCATTTCTGGAGCAGAAGCTTTGGAGTGCCATTTCTGCTGCAAAGCATCACGACATTATCATGGGCTCATTTGGGGGCAGGCGTGCTGGCTATAGTTAAAACTTATCCCATTTCCACTTGGTAAGGGGAGGGCAATCTGAATGGAAGGTAAGAACTAGTGCAAGCCAAATTTTAGAACCGCTATTTACATTCTTAAAATAAAAAAGCCCCCCAAAACACTTGCTCAACTCCTCGGACAGCTGTGCCCACAATGCCGGACTGTACAGAATCAGCAGGCAAGCCAGGCTAAAGCTTGCATGGGAAGGTGCATGACGCTGCCAGCCGATCACGTGCATTTATCAAAAGAGGCCTGTCCCTTGTACTCCGGGCAGGCTCACCCCTGCGAGCTTCCTCAAATGTGGGAAACTCAACTGCACAATGTTGTGGAAATGGGGGACTGTGTTCTCGCCTTCCTTGTGGCTGTCTCCTCAGCCTTTGGCTAGGAGCAAGCAAGACCAGGGGGCATCGTCCAAACCCCAGGGCCTTGGGGCTTCAATGCAGGATGCCTGCCATGGGTTGGGGAATATCTGAAGCCGCAAACTGATGGGTCTGAAAGACACTTGCCTAGTGGTAGAGCCATGCAAACTTGAATGATGGTGCTCTGCTCAGTCAAAATTTGGCACTTGACTATTGGGCTTTGGCCAATTGAATTCAGAACTGATTTGGGCCTTGAAATGAAATTTAAATAAAAAAAAAATGTACGCATTCAGGTGAACAATTGTGCTCTTGTATTTTTTTTACTACCAGAACTATTGCATCTTTCTTTAAACTCCTGACTTGTGCAGAACCTTCCCTCAGATCCATATAAAAAGTGGACTCATATGCAATATATATATATCTATAATATATACTAAACAATAATGACTGCAGCTTCTGTGTTAATAGAGAGATTATTCATATATGTGGCTGTTGCCTCCTAGTTATGGCCAGATTAAAACGGTTTTTATCCAGTGTTTGGTTAACAAAGGATAAATAAAATGCATCTCAACACTTACCAACACATATGTCCCTATGCAGACTTGTTAATTGTAGCACTTTTAATCGCGAGTAATGCTGTAATACTCGCCAGCCCAAGTGAATTCTAGGATTCCTCCTTCCGAGCCGCACTGACAGCATAGAAAAACAAGTGCTGTGTAGGCAGTGGAGTAAGAGAGCCTGGTGTCACCCCTCCTGGACGATGACCTGGGTTTTGGCACCAATTTATCTGTGACCTTGGACAAGTCCTTTCCCCTCGTCTTGTCAAAAGGAGGGTGAGACACTCGGGGAATAACACATCGGGATTAATATTCTGCATTGCTCTCAGGACTATGGATGGAAGAAATTCAGAAGCATTGCAATTTGGATGATGGACGTTTACAGGGGAAGAAATAAAGGAGTACCTCTGCCCTGTCCCTGAGCCTGGGGGAGGAAAGCGCATGACAAAGGGGACAAAAGAAGGGTGCTGAGTGTCTTTCTTGGGATAATGTGTTGCATGTCTTTGCAAGTCGGACTCGGGCAGTTGGAGCCCTGGTTCTGACGGTGGGTGGCAGTGCAGAGCAAATATTCTCTGCTCCTAGTGGGTGCTTTGATTAGACAGAGGATTTGCCTTTCTGAGATAATTTAGCAAGCGGAGAAAGTACCTGAGTAGTGGAGGTTAAGGGCAGACGGTTAACCAGAACCTCTGCCTCCCGAAGAGGGCAGGAATAAAAATTTCCGCTGCAAACTGTCAGGAATTGCAACTGCTGAATTCCTCACTCCTGCCCATTTAGCAAAGGCATGCCAGTCTTTTGAGAGGCTGAGACCCTAAACCCAGCAAGTCAGGGGGGGAGCCTTAAAGGCTGATTTGAAAGAGATATGAACGTTACTAACCTGGAATAAAGTGGGGTTATGTCTTCTCAATGGCTTTATTGTGCCTGCATATTGCTCTTGATCTGGTGTCAGTTGTCTTTGGCTCGCCCTGTAGTCTGCTGCATGCAGCAAGCCAAACACATCTTCCTCTGAATGCAATTTCAGGGATTTTTTTTCTTTCCTGCCTTTTGAGGGGAACTAGCTGTATAAGGGAAAAGCGATGTATGGAGCTGAGCAGTATAGTACCCTGCTCTCTGCTCCTTTTATATTTGGATCTATGCCTTTGAACAATCAGGTCTATTTGAATAGGACACTGCAGTTTAAACCGATATAAAGCAACTCTTTCATGTAACAGCCCTGGTTGCCTTGGCTCTTGGCATCAGTTCACAATGTAGGCAGTGGAGGGATTGAAAAGCAGAGGGGACACAGAAAGTGAGCGAGCAAGAGGATTGATTCGGGGGTGGAGGGAGACATTTGCAAGCCCTCTGTATAAATTGTTTTTTAGCTGTCAGATGAGCTCATTCAAGGCAACCGGAACAAGTCTGAAGAAGGGGGTTTTGCAGCAAGAAACTGCAGCAAATGCAAAGCACTAACGTGGGGGGAGGATGGGTGACTAGTTCATTAACACCCCCCCACCCCAGACCAGAGGGGAGAAGGGATGGCAGCTCCTTCTGGACCAGCAATGCACCTGGCACTATCCAGCCCCCTCTCCCACCTCTCTCCAAGCTCCCCCCACCCTGTGATGCAGCTCCAGAAGAGGTTGCACTGAGAAAGCAAGCAGCATCCCGTCCTCTTTCGCAGTGCTGCATGTTCTGGATGCCAAGGCAGCGAAAACCTCAGACCCGCTGTGTCTCTCCTCGCCTTCTCTGTGCATCTTTGTTGCTTTCTCTTCTAAAAAAAAAAAAAAAAAAAGCAGAGAGGAGAGCTGCTTAGCAGTGGAGGGGGAGAGGCAAAGCAGCAGTACCCCCCCTCCCCTGCCCTCCATCCCCTCATTTCAGCTTGGACCCTGTTCGTACACCCCCCCAGGTTGAACTGAGTTCCCACATACCAGGCTGCCTGCCACGGGGAGGGGGTTGCAGGTAGCTTTACAACCCAAAGACACTGAGATGAAAGCCTTGCTTTAATGCAACCCAAAGAGGAAGGTATAGGAGGGATATTTTGTTTTGCTTTGAATGCTTGGTGGGGATGGGGGGGAAGTCACGTATGAGAGCCCCGAGCTGATTGGGGTCACCCCCCATTCATGGATCTGGACATCATTACAAAGCTAATGAAGTTCCTGAGTGTGGCTTTAATAGATCCTCCCATCCTTTGGAGCCGTAGGTGCGATTGTGCTAGTGACTGCAAAGGAAAAGGGCTGCGCTCCTGCCAGCTCTGCAAAGGCTGAGCAATGGGGAAGGGGAGAGACCATGGCTTTCCTACCTCCCAAAATCTACCCCCCCCCACCCTCCCTACTCTCTTGCCATGACCAACCCCAGCAGTGACAGCGCCTAAATCCGTCCCTAGGACCACAGGCTGGCAGGAGAAGTAACATCATGGCAAAGAAGGGGAAGGGGGGGGGGGGAGCTGTCTCCATGCAATCCCCCCCCCCTTTGTGTTTGTAACACAATTTGCTTCCTCCTAAAAATCATGTCAACATCATCAAGTTGTTTACAGAGCCGGAGGGAGGGAGGGGAGAAGCGTAGTGTCCCTCCATTGAGGGCTATGCCTACATTTATCCTAGCAGATGTCTCTACACCCGGGCGATCTGTACGTGGTGTTGCGAGGAATCCTTGGGAAGTGCCCCTGGACCAGACGGGAGAGGCTGTGATGCGCAATAACCCTGCTCAGTCCCATCCTCCAGGCTCATTTCTGGCTTCTTGTTTCTGGACTGGGGGGGGAGAGGCTGGGGAAGGGGGACACGCAGCTCTCATCCCACTGCCCACACATCTGCACAGACACACAAGCCCCTCTGCCCAAATCACCCAGACAACCCCCCCCCCATGCTCTTTTTCAGCATTTAAGAAAGAAAAGAACAAGGATGTGATGGTGATTAATCAACTGGATAATAAAAGAGAGAGAGAGGGGGGGAAAAAAAAGTATAATTCCCTAGGGACTTTCTGCTGCTAATCCTGAAATGCTTGATCCAAGATAGTCATTTTTTAAAGTGGGAAAGGAAAGAGGTGGTGGTGGGGGGGAAGCAGAACCAGCCCTCCTCTCCCCAAGCCAGCGAGAGAGTTGGTTCATTCCAGCTGCAGAAGCTCAGAGCCTTCCATGCATTGGGATTTTTTTCTGAGCTAAAATAATAATAATAATCTTCATCCTGACCTCCTCCCCCCCCCCCTTCCTTTCTCCCCTTCCTCCAGCCGAGCCCAGGACCATCCCAACTGCAAAGGGGGAGGGGAAAAAAAAAAAACCAACAACCCCCAAACCCCCCAACACCCCCAACCCCACAACCCCTTGACATGCAACCTGCTTTGGGATGGGACAAGACGGGATGCAGCTGCGGCTTTAGAAGGAACTGGGGAAAACTGGGGATCTTTGCTCTCATGACGGTGGAAGTGAGCTACTGGAGCCGGGTTCTGCTGCTCTCTGTGGGGCTCTTGGTTGTATCAGCAACCGGTAAGTGGCATGGAGGAACTGGTAACTTTGGGAGATTTTGTTTTTCTTTTCCCCCTGCAGCTTCATTTGGTGGACCCCCCCCCCCATGTTCTTGTATCTAGGGGGATACTGTGTGAGTGTGTGTGTGAGTGTGCAAAAGGGGAGATTCTCCTTGAGAAAGCATGGAGCTGGGGGGGGGATGCTTGCTGTGTGCCACCTTCAGAAGATAAAGTTTGTAGGTATATCTTACAGGAGCAACAATGCTAAAGGATGGGTTCATAGAAAGGCTTTTTAAAAAAAAAGAAAAAACCCAACATTACTCCCCTTCTTCAAAGGATCAAATCCATTTGCCCAGTTGCATGGTCATCTCACATGCTGGAAAGTAAAATGCCATCACGTTTTCTCTCTCTGTGTTTTTTTTCCCCCCTCTCCTCAGCAGCTTAGTTCATTATGTCTCTACCCTAGTGATTCCCTACAGCTGATAAAATAGATTTAGGACTCCTTGCATGCAGTTAGAAGCACTTTGCTTTTTTCGTCTCCCTTAAGTTGCTGTGCTTTTTAAGGGTTAGCTTTTTGGCTTCGGTGTTTTTATGTGTATATATATATTTTTTTAAGTCAAATATGTAACTATGGAGAAGCTTAGGAGACATCAGTAGATTTAAGGGACATGTTAACAGCCTTAGCTTTCCCTTCTCCGGCTCCTGGAACTGCCTTTGCAGCAAAATGCAATGCAAGGATTCGGTCTGAGACTGAAGTTTAATTTCTGCTGTGATGTTATTTAGGGTCTGGCTTTGGGGTGGGGGAAGTGATTATTTGCCAGCTTCTTGCTCTAGCTTGGTAGGGTACCCCATTTCCATGTGTTTCTAAATAAGGCTTTGAATATGTTTCTTGCCATATGGGCAGAGGGGACCTGGTTTGTGTGTGTGTGTGTGTGTGTGTGTGTGTGTAGGAGCCAATTTGTTTTTTTGTCAACTTTATCTTTGTGTCTGAAATGCAACCCTGATTTTATTATGT